CCCCCCCCATCCTTTATCCTTTTTCCTCTCTAACCAGCTATTCTCTCAAGGATATAAGCAACAGCTTCCTTGACAGGAATTTATCCTGCTTTCGATTCCGACTAGATTCATTCATTGTTAAGATTTGTGTACACCAAAAGACGACAAGAAGCACAAAAGATTTGGGAAGTATAATCTCTAAATCTCACTTTTCATCGCCAGTCGCGATAGGATGCAAAAAACCTTTCCTTTTCTGCCGTTGAAGCAGCTGTTCACACGTGAAAAGACGCCATTCGACGTCTCTTGGCTTCAACTTGTACGGCCCCAATGCTCTTGCTTTTGAATCATTCCTAATGCTTTCAAACGTTTCAAAACTGTTGTGTGATCAACTCTTAATGATTCTGCAAGTTCAGCTAGCGTCTGACATGAGTCTTCATCAAGTAGTGCCTCCAATTCTTCATCTTCAAACTTTTTCGGTGCGGCAGACCGTTCTTTATCTTCATCATCAAAATCATTATTTTTGAAGGGCTTAAACCAATCTCTGCATGTTATTTCCGACAGAGCATGGTCACCGTAAGTTTCAACAAAAATTCTGTCTGCTTCAGCTGCAGATGTTTTTTGAATAAAGTAGTGCAGTAAAATTCCTTGAAAATACTCTTTGTTTGGCTCGAAATTCGACATGTTTAACACTATGAAAAAAAAAGTTGTTTACATTTCGACGAAATGACCACACATAAGTGCACGTCACAGAAAATACAATTAAAATGATGGGTTAGTGCTAGATCATATAATAAGCAGATGTATAGTGTGACGACACCTTTTTACGATGTCACACAAATGAATGGTACCACAAGAAATAATTGATAAAATATTAAATTACTGGGTGCCGGGTATAACCAGAGTTATATCGCTGTCTCCTAACAACACTTGAGCCAGCTCTTATGCGGTGGGGTCCTGGGTCTGGGAAACAATTGTCAAAATCTGAGAGCTGGGGGAGGTTTACTCTAAAATTACAACGAGCAAATACTAAAGTTTGCAAAATAAAATACGGAACCACAATCTGGCCCGATTTATTAAACGAAACAGGAGAAAGAGATGGAACAACTGTTTCTGTATAAAATATACAAGCTTTGGATACAACGGGACCGTAGATTCCTTAACACATTTAGCGCCACGTCACCCATATTTGGGTGACGGGTATGCTTCCGTGGGGGCCCCGTTACCCATATATGGATGACGCTCTTCTTGTTCAAGTTAAATAAGATTTTCTATTGCCTTTTTAAAAGAAATTTAATGGAACAAGCACTGAAGTATAAATATAGAATATACAGCATAAAAATATCAAAAATATTATATTATACTCTACTTTTTATTAATTTATATTTATTATAAAATATTACATTATCTACGTCGCATGATATTCGTTGAAACAGTCCAAGCACATCTGTGGCGATTTTGGGCAAATCAAACAATACGTTATCGATTTTTTAACGTTTTTCCTCGCTTGTTGCCATTCGACAATTTGCCTCTTCTTTTGGTAACAGGACGCACATTCTTCTTACAGGCTTGTCTTGCTAATTCTTACGAATTTCCAAGTGGTGAGACACTTTCCACCTTTTGTATCTATTAGTGTCGGGCATAGTATTTTTCGAGCACAACCAATCTGTGACTAAAAGTTCCCGGAATTTTCTTATCTCCTTTGCTTTTTATGTTGTTCCTAAAAGTAAATGTAATGCTAATTTGCGATACCATTTGATGCTTTTGCGTATGTTTGTTGCATATGACACCATCTGGTCGCTCCTGTCGATGCCGGTTTTTCCAATATTATACGCCATTATCGCCTAAGGTTTCATTTTCGGAGGACGACCGCGATATGTAGAATCCGAGCTTGGAGTCATGATGGGTACATGTTTTGTTGATAAGATTCTGACATCGCGAACATCTTTCCATTTTAGCACAACAATACCATTATGATCTTCTTGTGCCACCATTTCACCTCTTTTCAACGGGTATGACATTACAAAATTTGGCATCTTTTTTTTATTGTGTTGTACCGTTCCAACCACTTGCGTCTTAGAATTCAAAATTTTAAGTGCTAATTCATAACTAGTATAAAAATTATCGACAAATAAAGTACGTCCTTCGTTCAGTAATTTGTCTGCAAGTTCAGTGCAGACATCTTCTGCTATGCTAACTTGCCTTTTTCCGCTGGTATCTCGTCCAGAATATATTTTTGAAGATCATGTGTATCCTTCGGTGGAGCACAGTTTGAACAGTTTTATACCATACTTATGTGACTTTGTTGGAATATACTGCCGGAATACCAGTCGTCCCCTCTACGGAACCATTGTCTCGTCGACAACAATATCTTGGCCTGGTGAAAAGACTTCCTGATAATTATCCGTTAATATGTTTACAAGAGGTAAAATTTTCCCAAGTCTGCTATTTCGTTTTATCGTTTCATAGTTGGCAAAATAAAAGTTTGCTAACAGTAACTCAAAACGATTGCAGGACATTGTACTGCCCCATCCAAATCATCAGTCCGATAAATTTTTTAATTTTTTTGGAAGTGGTGGGTTTCCATCTATTCTGTCAAGCGTGACCAATCATTTCATGTTCAAGAAATTTCTGCTCTGCATATCTATTAGTTTCTGTAACTAAAGGGCTTATCACTGTTTCATCCAAAAATAGTGAAAGAACTTCACTTGGGCTAATGTCAGACGGCAAATCCAACAGAAGCGCACTTTTTCCGGTGAACGGAAATGATTGTTGCCTACCAGCGAACTCGTTCCACTGGATATTGTCCAAAGAATCATCAGCTGAGGTCAATTCCTCTTCTTCGTCTATAGTCAGTCTATAGTCAGTTCTTCTAGCATGTCATTAAGGTCTTCACTTATATGATTCCTCAATATCCGAGCCTGAACTCGATGAAATTCTATTTATAATTTTTCTTCTAAAACTCACTACTTCTTCATCACTACTCTCCTCACTATCAATTACACTTTTACGCGGTGCAATGAACATTTTGAGAATAAAACAATTACTGTGTTTGTGACACAAAGTATGCTTCTCGACTGAATAAATGATCTGGAATAACTGCAGTGAGATCCCTTGCAGTCCTCTTTCCGAAGAACTTATCGCTTACAACTCCCACTTACTCTCTATACAATATTCCTATCAGAATATACAAGCAAAAGAATATGTCGGTGCTGGATGGTTGGTGTGGTTCTGTCCGCGTTCGGAATCACCCATAACTCCCGAATAATTTGATATGGGAATGGAGACTTGCGGGTTCGTTTGTAAAGGAGGTCTATGTAACTTCGATTATGTTTTTTCCGCACTCGATACAAAATCGTAAGTAACACACTCGCGTCTAGATTCGTGTCGTGGTGACGGGCAGCCCTCACAGGTCCGAGAATACTACCCTCTCAGTCATCTCGACCCTGATAAGGCGAACCCCCCTCCCCCATCTGCTCTCGGGGGGGGGGGCACCTTTTCCACCCGTCGTCATTCATCAACAAAATAAAAAAAAAAGTCATTCCTAAATCTAAATGGTAAAAAACAACAAAAATCAAAATGAGATTGCTAGGCTCCTTCTTTGCGGTTCCTTGTTGTGCGCCGACAGGTATTATACAGAAATTAACGTTAGCGATTGCTAACGAACTCACGATACCCCTGTGCTAGAGAAACGACTCCGCAAGGTGTGGACTGTGTAGGCGATAACGTAAAACCGAACTTCAACGCATAAACGATATTAAACAGCACCGATCCTCCAGCCCGTCAGCGATTAGCAATCTAGAGATACTGTAATGATCGGAAACGCGTAAGGCACGACATTGCGATATAGTGGTCTATTTCCTGTTAACTTAAATATGGCCAATTCAAAAAACCGTCAGTCACCGCCTTTCTAGTCGCTCCAGATTTCCTCAAGATACTATCTCCTTGATACTGGATCCCTCAAGCGATCGCGATACGGTACGGTAAACTATACAAAACTATATAAATTAGACAAAATAGAACAAAACAATACGAGACGATACAATATTTACAAGACAAATACACGTCTGTTTCTAGACTCGGCCACACCGTCCGTGACGCGTCTCGGAGAACGCCTCGACGATAGATATTGTTACGATCGCTCTCTAAATACGCAGAATATGGTTAAGTTCTTATGTTCAATATTCAAGAGATTTCATGGTTTGTATCTACTTACGCAGAATATGGTTAAGTTCTTACGTTCAATATTCAAGAGATTTCGTAAATGCTGATTTAGAAAAGGTAGTTAGGATGGTTCGTTGGTCAGATTTGCCGGTGCTAAACGGTACGTCCACGCGTTATGTCAATTGTTTCAGCACATAAGATTCGGTAGAAATAGGAAATAGGTTCCAGAGGGTACCTTCATCGATACAAGGAGGATTGTTCTTTGTGTCTGATATGATATCCTGATTAATGAAACTAGAAC